AAAAATAAAAAATGTCCAGAATCTACAAATGTGTACGAAAATAGTTTGTCAAGTTTATAAAAATAAATAAAATATTTAAATTCGTTGTGTTTGATAATTATTTACCAGAAACTACAAAATAAAATACAATGAATAAATCAAAAAAGAATGTAAAACCTACTTTTTTCACATAAACGACCGAATCGACCTTGTGGACAACGACATTCAGGTGTTGAACCAACAAAAACACATAAACCACCAGCTTGACAATTGAGTGGACAATATTTTGCATCATTTGATTGTTCAACTTCAAGTAAAGAATGAAAAATCAATATTTTTGTTCCATTATCAATATTTAAATAAAGAAAAAATTACCTCGTTCGCATAATATACCAGATGTACCCTTTTGGCAATTACATTGTGAACCAACACTTGTTGTCATACATTTACCATTATTCATACATGGATTACTTGGTGAACATGTTTTTGGTCGATTAACTAAATAAAAATTAATTTTTATATTGAAATTTTATTAACGAAAAACTTACCAAATTCACAGTTGGCTCCGAAATATTCATTTGGACATGAACATCGAGCTTGACCACCATTTCGTTCATCGTTATAACATTGACCACCATGATAACATGTCATATTACATGGTTTCGATGCTATTGATCGAGCAGTGCGACCTTAGAAAAGAATTTTCTATGTAATAGAATCATCTATACTATATCAACATACTATATTGACAATAATATCCTTGAGTACTATCTGGACACCAACATCTGGCTGCATTATTTTGAACAGCACATCCACCATTATTTTGACTACACACGAAAAAAAAAGAATTCTTTTTTTTTCTATTTTAATCGAAAAATAGAACAAACCATGGATTTGGTAAACATGGATTTGTTATAACGATCGTTGGACACGGTATTACAATGCAACAGCAACCACCATCACATGGTGCACGTGTAGCAAGAGTTGTAGTTGCTGTTGTCGTTGTGGTTATTACTAATAGAAGAACAAAATAATATATATTAAAATTTCATGAAAAATGAACATACTTTGTTGACAATTAGTGCCGGTATAGGGATGTAGACATGAGCAAATATATCCAGCTGTTGTTTGTGTACAAAGACCATTATTAGCACATGGATTAGGCATACAATAATTACGAGATTCACATCGAGTTCCATAATAACCAGTCGGACATTGACAAAGATATGCTTTTAAAGACAAAATGAATTTTTTAACTTTTAAAATGATTTATAACTTACAATTGCCAGTCGGAATGCATTGACCACCATTTTGACAAGCTGCTTGTGCACATGGATTAAATGGTGTTGTCGTTGTAATAAGAGTTTCACAACAGAAACCATTATGTGTTGGAGGACATTGACAATAGAATGATGTACCCTGTGGTATACATGCACCACCGTTTTGACAAGGTGATTGCGCGCATGGATTGAATGGTGTAGTTGTTGTAATAAGAGTTTGACAACATACACCATTATGTGTTGGGGGACATTGACAATAGAATGACGTACCTTGTGGTATACATGTACCACCGTTTTGACAAGGTGATTGTGCGCATGGATTGTATGGTGTTGTCGTTGTAATACGATTTTCACAACAATAACCATTGTGTGTTGAAGGACATTGACAATAAAATGATGTACCTTGTGGTATGCATGTGCCACCATTTTGACATGGATTTGGTTGACATGGTGTTGGAGCTAAGAGAGATATATTAAAAATAGATAAGAGTAAGTTTATCTATTTCATACCTGGTGCTTCACAACGATTACCAGTAAATGTTGCTGGACAATTACAAATAAATCCTGCTCCTAAAGATACACATTGACCACCATTGAGACCTAATCAACAATTTATTTTTTAATATGATATATAGATAGATAAGTTTTAACACTTACATGGATTTGGAGCACATGGATTACGTGGTTGAACTAAGATGATAAAGAAAAGTTTGTTTGTTTCTTTTCTAAAAAAAATATCTTCTTATACCTGTTGTTGGTGTGGTTGCTGGTTGACATTGAGTATTACCACAAATGCATTGTACTACATTAACAACAATACCACAAGCACCAGTATTACATAAAGAACATTGATATTGTTTTGGTGTAACTATGGGTCCAAGTGCTCGTGCTTCAGCTAATGTTTTACCAACAGGAATACTGTTAAGAGCATTTATATCAGCTTCATATATAATCGTATCATTATCCATATCTATTTCATATATTTCAATATAAACTATTCAGATAAAAATAAATGAATACTTACTAAATTTACGTTGTTGTTTAATTTGTTGTTTACATGCTTGAACTTGTTCTTTTGATACACATGTTTTAAGTGAACCTTCCCATGCTGTACCAGCGGTACATGTAAATCTAATACGTACATTATCAAAGCATCGAATAAATTTTGTACAATCAGTTTCATCAACTGCAAAATCTTCACATGCTTCTATATATATATATAAATTATAAAAGAAATATAAATCAATATTCTATATTTATATTAACTTACGTTGACCAAGAACAGTGATGATAACAGTAGCTAATATGTATAGTATAAGAGATCGTTGTGAAAGTAGCATTGTTGTTCGTGTCTGCTCGAAAACTTAATTGATAATACAATGAATAAAACTCGAAGAAACACAGCCTTTTTAAAGCATGAGAAAGATCTGACTTTTTCGATGAAAATTAATGCGTGGTAGTAACGTTAGTCATGTGTGCGTACGCGTATATTTAAGATTAACACCACGCAAAGATCATCCTGATTCTGACGATTTTTTACGGCTGTTTTTTTAATCAGACCATGTAGGCGATATCGTAATCTTCTTGTTGCCTATTTTTATGTTTTTTCTTTATTTCTTTACAATAAATAAAACTAAAGAACAAAGATGAGGGACGAATGTGAATATATGCGTAGGTCGGTCGATGATATTTAATTTAGACAGAATATTCAATGATCGATAATCCTTTCCTTTTGTATCTCGAGTATTGTCATATTTTGAATAAGATAAAGAACAAAAATAAATAAAAAAAAAAAGAAAAAGACATAACAAAAATCTTTCAAAACAATAACAACACATGGTTTGTTTTGCATAATTAACTACCAAATCTTTTTTGTTACTGTTAAAATCAATCTTTCATTTTTTTTTGCTATGAATATTATCCGGAAAATAGAAACAAAACTAAATGATACTTCTCTAGATAAACTTATGTTTAAATATACAATGAGTAAAATTATTCAATACAAATATGATTTTAAATCGAGATATAAAAATTCTTGTTGGATTTATATTCAGTTTAATGATATTTGTAAGCTTACGTGATAATCCTATTCAAGATTTTCAAGATGATATTATTCCGCAACATTATAATCTTGAATTTATTGATTATTCAGATCAAATGATTTGTAATGTTATAATATTTTTTCAATTTACACAAGATCGGTATTATTTTTTAATTATTAAATCATCTTTAATTAAGCTTTATCACGCGTCAGATTTAATACCAATTGAAAATATTCGAATAATAATTAACCGACGTCAATGGAAGAAATATTTTTATAAAGGTAATTATTCAATTTCAATTCGAACTTATATAAATATATCAAATACGATAAAAAATGGTTTTATTCGTTAATTCTGGTCATTAAAATATCGTATTTTGTTTACGAATAATCATTTATTTCCGTATCTTCCGCATTCATTCTATCGATCGACATTTAATATAAATATTATTACAACTGATGATATCATCTCTAATTTCCCTTTGAATCAAATAAATTCATTATTCGATATTTCATATATTAGTTTTGCATTATTACATCAATATGAATGTTATACTATGGATATTCTTCAATTATGTCTTCCAAGAAATTTATTTAATTATACTTTAAATACAACTCAAATATTTGAAACATATTTTTCTCGAACATTTCCATTGAATAAATTAACATTAATTACTGTTTTAGAATCGAATGATCGAATTATTTCAAAACCTGGTTTAGTATTTATTGATCAAAATATTTTATTAACTAATATATCAACTAAACAGATTCTCCAACAACATGAATCAATTTTTTTTCTAATAGCTTATCAATGGGTTGATACATTAATTCAATTTAATAATAAAAATCAATGGATTGGAAAAAGTTTAGCAAGAAGTATCGCTAGACATTTATTTAATAAAACAAATAATCCAATTGAAAAATTCATGTCAACTGTTATCATTGATTCATTATGTAATACGGAATCAGATGAAAAAATAAATAACATCATGTAAGGAATTTTGATTATAGTAGGTATATAGTAGTGTCGGTTCAAAACTGGAGACTGAGTTGATCCTTTAAGGCCCATGATTCAACCTATAGGTGAAATCTCTTTAAAACTTGATATTTCGAATGAGCATTGGATATTATCGACACTTTAAAAAAATATCTCAAGTGATTTTCAACTTTTAGCCGTACCCTCCCCCCTACGGAAATAGTGAAAAATATTTTAGCCACTTTTTCGGAAGTGTAGGGTCGGGAGCCAGAAGCTGATGCACTAACCTTACTAGGGTTTCTGATCTTACATAAATAAGTGCGTCAAACTCTCTTTTATATCGTAGTGAAAGCCACACTTCGTTATCGCTCTGCATTCGTGAGTTATTCGAAATTTATCAAATTTTAAAAAAAGTAGTACTTAACGGATTCACTGATACTGGTGTCTGTCTTTTTTTTCTAAAGAAGATCCGCTCTTAATTATTCTATTTTTCTGTTTGTAAAATAATAACATACTTTGAAAGGAATGCTTTTTAATTTTGATGCTAGACTAATGATAGAACGTGACATTTACTTTTTATATACTCTATTGTTAGCATTGCTAAAAAAAGAAAATAGTAAAAATTTCGAATTTAATAATTTTTGTATAGAAGATTCGATGAAAATAGAGAATTAATTTCTATTATATTTGTTTAGATTTGAAGATATTTTAATTAAAAAAGGTGAAGCATTTTTAACTGCATATCGATTATCTATTGATGATAATGAATTTCAATCTCAAATTCCACAACTAATCTTTAATGAATCTGTTCTCTTCACTAACTCATCATTAATTGGGTCACAATTTCTTGATCATCACATAATTTCCCTCAATTCATCAACAAATGATATACAATTATTCAAATTGAATTCAAATTGTTCATTACCTAGTTTTCCACTAACACTTTATAATTCTTCATTCATATCAAATCCATTTTTCCATATCTTTTATTCCTCATGGGATCATTTTATTAATGGTATAAAATTCTTTCAACAACAAATTAATTCATTCTCAAAAGTTCTATTCGATAGTTTTTTATTTAATCTTTCTAATCAATTATCAATTAAATATCCATTAGAATTAATAAATTTATTTTTCTATCAATCATTATCAATTCTAACTAAACATGATTTAATAGTTTTAAATAAAATTCTTCAATATTATCGAAAAATGATGAAGAAAAATTTCTTCATCCATTTTGTTCGAATCATTTATGGACACGACAAACATTAATTGATGAACTTTTTTTAGAATTACGTTGTTCAATTTATTTTCAATAATCAAAAATTAAGGAATATTTCTAAAACAAAATTAATCAATGATGAAAATCAAACTGACATGTTAACAAGTTTTAATCAATTACAAATTCCATCGCCTTTTCTATATCCTGATCAAATAGTTATGAATATTGTTTGTCAAACAGTTCGACAACAAAATGATCAATATTGGTATGATTTAATTTATGCTGTACAAGAAAAAATTTATTATCAACCTATTCCATCAGCTATTATCACAGGTTTATCATGTGGTATACATACAACAGAACAAATTGAATTCTCTTTGCCCACCATCACCATTTCGATGGCCATGTTATCGTAATATTCTTACGTATTCATCAATAAAAAAATTTCAACAACTCAAGACAATTGACGATGAACTTGTTGATTTTTTATTTCATACTCATCATATACAAGAAAGATTTAGTTCTCATCCAATGATTCTTGAATTTCAATTATTAATTTTAACGTGGTTAAATATTAATCAATATGAATTTATACATTGGCTTGACAATATTTAAGAGATTTATATATAATCAATGACTTCAGGGTTTTTTTTTCAATCATAGAAATGTCTATAGTACGCTTAGAATAATAGTAAATAAATATATTTAATTATACATTCGGGTACACCTCTCTATTTGAGTAATGCTGATTGCAACAATTCTTTTCATCTATTATCAACGACGTTGACAGAACGGAAAACGGGGTTTAGTACAAGCATTACAATTGCTACTCTAGAATTCTTTTCGTGTTGTTTTCTTTTTTATTCAAAGAGACCATGCACGTCGATAGCGCTATATTCTTTTGTCAACGATGGTAGTGAGCGCACATATATATATATTTATATGCGATAAAAGAGAAGAGACAGTCGAGCGAGAAGAGAGTAAAAAAAAAGAAAAAAAAAAGATAATTCAAAAAGGCATACTCGCAACACAAGGACATTAGATGAATAATGGCCATTCTTGTCTTTCATCTTTTTTTTTCCTATAGGCTGTCATATGAGGTGTTGATGTGCATAGGTTACTAGTGAAGAGAGTGTCACTTGATTTTCAAGTATATAACTGTTCATTCAATATGATAGATAAGAAGGTAAGAAAAAAAAATGCCTGAAGCTATCATCGTTTTTTCTCTTTCCCAGAGTTTTACTGATCTCTTTTCATCGTCTTCTTGATTGCATCAATGCACATGCACGCACAGGAAATTTGCTACTATGATGATGATCTACTCTGTTTTTTCTCTCCATGTCTCTAAGCTGTTTCACGATCGAAGGGCATATGCATATGCAAGGTCTAGATGATCATGAGTATCATCTAATCCTGTCTATATGTGCCCATGAGATCATGCTAAAAAATATATGTGAGTATGAAAATAATTTCTTAGGTTATTCTTTTTCTTTTTCTCTTTTTTTTTTGTTTAATATATGTTATTGTCATTCATCTTTTTTATTGTTGACAAACAATTAGTGAAAATTAGCTGTCCTATTGTCTTTTGTTATTCATGCAGATTAGAAGAAGAAAAAGAAGACAAGACGTTCACAGAGGAATGCTTATCATATTTGTTAACTCGATTCGGGATTGGACTTATTCATTCGAGCAAATGAAATCGAAACCAACCGATGAACAACCTAATTGAACACTATATGAGTAGACGGAAGAGAAAAAAGATGCAACATGACATTTTGACAGAACTTCACTCATCATCATCAACGTTCTATAGAGATATAGAAACATACTGTTTATTGATGGCCGTAGTAGTTATAATAGTACTACGTGTGTGTAACAGCTGGCACACATCCTTATTACATAGAAGAAAAGAAAGCGAATAGTAGTATATGTGTGTTAATGGCAATAACTTGTTTTCTCAATACTAAAGAAAAAAAAAAGCGTATGGTACATCAAACAGCTAGGAAGTATGATTATTATCTTCGTTGTACAGTAACAACAAACTGATGCTATTTAGTTTATAGTAATACGCTTATTCTTATACAAAATGAGAACGAGAAAGAAAAGGCAAAGAAGAAAAAGAAGACGAAGAGAAAAAATCGGCTAACGATAAAGAATAGAAAGAAGGAAATCATTCCGACTTGTTCTGTCTCTAGGATCTCAATTACATCATGACAAAAGAAAAAAAACAGATGAATTATGTTTGAGGGAGAAGAAAAATAGTGGGAATAAGTATATATATTTTATTTGACTCTTTAGATGATATATATATATATTGAATGAAAAATAGATAAATATAATGATACCATCACAGAATCATACATGTGATAGTGGTACTCGTATATTACGTTGGTCACAATTTTGTGATGGAAATATTGATTGTCAAGATCGTTCCGATGAAGAAGGACGTTTTTGTAGTAAGTTTAAATTAATTATATATTTACTCTTATTCTTTACATCCTTGATTTTTAAATAGAACATTGTATCAACAATCTCTATTCATGTCCACCAGATGATGATATACGCTGTGATTTAGCTTGTAATGCGCTTCAATATGTACCTTGTCAAACTATACAAGATCGTCGTGCATGTAATAGTATTCGACAAAATTGTAAAATTTCATTGAATTCTTTTGTTTTGTTTAAATAAGAACAATTTTTTATTTCTTAGATGGAAATTATTCACCTTATCATTTGCTCACAGATATTAATTTTTATATTGGTATATTTCATTAATTAATATTCTTATTAATTTTCATTTTCTTATAATTTAGCTGTTGCAATCGCTACTATTGTAATTCTTCTTGTTACCACCGGTATTGTTATACTGATTAAATATCTTATACGTATACAACAACGACGAACAATTCGATCTTCACCTAAAGTATAATAAATATTTCTTTTATCATATCAATTCTTAATTGTTTCTTTTCTTTGATAGATATTATATCATCCGAATGCTCCGCCGCCGCCACCACCACCCTATTTATCAACTCCACATCAATCACCTGAAAGAGATACGTTATCTAGTCATATTTATGAACAATGCTATGAACCACCTCCATATAAAGATGCACATAAATATCCAATGACAAGAACATACTATGAGCATGTATTATGATAACTAAACATTGCAAAGAAAGAATGAAAGAGCTAGTTTTTTATTTAATACTATGAAAAAAAGAAGTTTTGTATGTATATCAAGAATCAAGAAATTGTTTTTCATCTGTTCCGGTAAATATTCGAATTGCATGTATATTTGGTAATTGTTTACTAAGTGCATCGGATACTAAACGATGTTGATTAACAGTACGCATCTTAGCAAATTCATCGGTTACAACAATTATTTCATAACTTGCACCACAACCGGCTAAAAAATAAAACAATAAATTAATATTTAGTTTTTTTTAAGTAGAAATTATTATTATTTTTTTTTTGATTATTAATATACTTTATAAAATATATAATTAATTTTTAATCTCAGATTTAAATAATTCAATTTCTTATATAATAGAATTATAAGTGTAGTTTTAATTAGCTCTTTTGTCCTTGTAAGGGAGGTGGATGATCTTTAAACAATACAGTAACATTTACTCATCAGAAAATAAATAATATCTCGAAGGTTAGTTTTGAACACGTAGATAATTTTAAAGCGATTAAGATGAAATCTTTTAATATAAAGTTTACAATTAACATATTCTAATCAAGAGTAATCGATCTATCTGTTTGATACATAGGTTCTATCTTGAGATAGAGATAATTAACTTTTACAAAAAGAAAATCCCCTGTGTCTTCATTGCAACATATGACTTAACAGATGTTTTGAATAAAAAAATTAATTCGATCAATCAGTTGCCAATAATGATTTCATTTCTAAATCAATTATAAATGTGAGCTCAATAATTATGATCTTCTTGTATTTGCTTATTTATGTTGAAAATTAGTATGTCTGATAATCAAACTGTAATTAACTTCTTCGAGGGTATGATTGGAAAACACTATGAATCCTTTTCATAATTCTATATGAAATATTTTTTTTTGTCAAAAATAAGCTGTATATTTACATGAAGTATCTTTAACATCAACAAGTCGAGCATCTGGAAAACGTTTTTTTAAAATTTCATTTAATTTTGTTTCACCATCAGTCTGTGATGATGATGATGATGGTGCATTTACGTTAGCATATCGAAATATATTTATAGCATTTTGATTTGCTATTAAATTAGAAAGACGAAAACGATTAGCAAATGATAAAAACATCTAGAATGTACTTGTATGTATATAAGATAGAAATATTTTTATTTATTTTTGCTCAAGAAAAAACAAAACGAAAAAGATACGTATTCACGCTAAATATATATATGTATATAAATAAAGTTAGGCTGATCAACAAGCAAAAGAAAAAACAACGACAACCAACATTTCCTTTTCCTCTTGTTCTATACAAAGTTACATAGACCGCAAAAAATAGACTCTCATAATATGGAAACATGAATAATTTTTGATTGAGAAACAAAAAACAAAACAAAATGAAATTGATTTTATGAGACACTTTTATATGTTTTGGTTACTATTTTTCTTTCAAGTGTCACATTAATTTTTCTATATATTATAATTTAGTCACTTGTACCAATGCATTAGCAGGTGATTGAGTTGAATTCGTGTGATTATTATTATTGAGATGTATTTTACTAGATAACCTTCCAAAACGTAATTCAACACATAATTCTTCAATACGTTCATTTTCATTATCAATATTGCGTTTAATCGCTTCGATTTTTGTCTAAATATACGAATTCTTAAAATTGAATATTAACAAAATTTCTTGCATACCTCTAATTGATTATTCAGTTTAATTGTATTTAATAATTCTTGTAAAATATCTACAGTTTGATTCGATGATGGTTCATTTTCTGATGCTGTTGTACTTGTTGTTGAGGTTATATTCGATAAATCTAATGGTTTTTCATTCATTTGTTGTTCTAATTTTGTTATAATGTCTTTTTCATTCATAAAAGATTTATAAATTGTTTTTACTATTTAAAATAAAATTAAAAAAAATGAATAATTCAATTAAAAGAAATTTACATTGAGCAATAAGGCGAGCTTCGATAATTTTTTCTTTTAATAATTCATCTTCTATAATACCAGCATTACTATCAATCACTTTTTGTATTTGAGCAAGTAATTCATCATCATCTGTTTCGACACCACTTCGTTCACGTTGCCGAATAGGTTTTGGACTTATAGCATTAGTTGACAGTTTGGGTATATCATCACTTGTTCCAGGTGTTTGTTGAGTTTTCGATGTTTCTTCGCGTTTATTAACAATTAAAATAACTTCTGGTTGATGAGATGGAGCTAAACACAAATATAATTTTCTTTATTTGGTTATATAGAAAGACAATTATTACTTGATTGAGAGAATGATGCACTAGCCGTTGTTGATCCTGAATGTTCAAGAAATGATGATAGACGATTTTGTTGTAGACGGCGAGTTTCTTGTTTAATCTATTAATTAAAAAGATATAATTAAAAGAAGTCAGTCGATTAACTTAGGACTGAGAAAATATCTTAATTTTAAAACTCTGCAGACATCTTTGTTCATGATGAAAGACAGACAAGATTCTAAAAATACGATCTTTCCTATATGTAATTAGTCATTCAAGACTAAAGCAGGTAGGAATGTCTCGAAATGTTCTAATTATAGTTTCTCTTAAAAGTCTTTTGACGTCTATTCGTAAAATAGTAGACCTAGCAATTTTTTTATTATAATAATCATCTGAAGACGGTTGAAAAGTCAATCTTCGCATTTAAGAGACATGAAAAAAAGGGTTTTTTAACCTTTATCAATATAAAGTTACCTTACGGAGCATTTTCATGCGACTTTTACAACCAGTTTCAAGAATTTTCTGATATGATGTTTTAGAAAAAAAACACTCAGGATTAGGGCGTTTCAAAAAAAGCTCGTATTTATATAGATAAAAGCTTCCGAATATAGTTTTATATAAGATGGACTCAAATATACTTTTCGTTTAAGTGCTGTAACAAGTCTTTGTTGAGCCCATAATTGTTCTTCTTTATCCTTATCGACGTTTGTTGGTGTTGTTGTTCCGTATGTTGATGAAACAGGTTGAGATTGTTGCATTTCTTCATGCATTTTATTTAATAATGCTTCTTGTTTATTTAATTCAGCTTCTAATTCTCTGGAAACAAAGGAATTTATAATTATTAATTAATAGAATATTTACTTACTCAATTGTTTCAGAATGAAGTGAAGAACGTGAAACATTTTTTATTAATGTAACTCTTAAAAAAAATCAAAATCAAAATACGAATATTTTTATTTTTTCGAAATTACCGTGATGCTGATGATGTTCGTGGTCGATCAAATATATCTGTTGCATGTTGAATTAAATACTTCACAATACGTTCTTTATTTTTAATTAATGTTGCTATAGTAACAGGTATAAATGATGATTCATTATTTTTTGATGATGGTGTTTGAGATGGTGACATTGTATTTGTTTGATGAATTATATCATGAAGATGAAGAAATAATAAACGAATTGTATCTCGATTTGGTTTTGGGATTTTTTGTATAAGATTTCGAATTTCAACAAATCGATTTAAATCAGGATCTAAAATAAGCTTGTCTTTTTTTCTTCTTCTAGATAATCTTAGTTTTTATTTCTTACTTGGATCATTCATTATTTTAAATATTCCAGTACTTTGTTCGGCTGGTATTAATTGTTCGGGTAATTCTTTAAGAAAACGTTTTAGTAAACTAACAGCAAATGTGGGGGTTAATGGTTGTTTTAAAGCATTTTCAAGATCAGTGGGTTGTTTGATTTTTACTGGTTCTTGACGATAAACATTATCCTGCGCATGAGCTTGAAAAAGAAATGATTCAATAAATGAAATAATGAAAAAAAAAGAATATACCTTGATCAATAATATTAATACAATCAACTAAAAATCGTGGTACAGCAAGATCATCATTCTGTAATGGATTATGTTTAATAGCTTCATCTAAGGATAAACCTATTATACGACGGAGTTGTTCAACTAAACCTAAAATAGAATTTTAAGATGAATCGATAATTAATAAAAATTTCGTGCTGATATTTTTTTCAAGATTTAGGCTTATTTATCGCTTAAAAAAGCTTTTTCTATTTCTATTATGTTAAAAGATTGAGCATGTTTCGAAGAATAGGCATTTAAATGTATTATGTTGATCATGTTCTATTATTAAGTAAATGACTCTTTTATAACTAGTTCAGTTACAAGGATTTATTAGATACAATAGAAAAAAATTTCCTACTGATAGAAAATTGGATGCTTAGTTTATTATAGTGTTAACGACACATGATAAAACTAAGGACTATGATAAACTTTTATATAAAAATCAAGAGCGCAACAGTGATATAGAATAAGTTTTTGCGATTCATGAATATAGAGTTGGAATTATGTCTTCTCGTGTTTATAAATATCAATAAAGAGTTATAACTGTTTTATTGAATTTTTTATCTGAGCGTGAGTATCTTACGTCGGCTAAAAAAGTTATAATCCTTTAGTAATACTTCATAATTACGATCAATTATTGAAGTATCTCCGTCATATTCAAACCTATTTTAAATTAAAAGCTCGAATTCCTTTCCAGTTTAGTAAATATTATCACAATCACATTTAAATATAAATATCAGACATTTCTATACATTCTTATCAAATAAATTGTGACTTATTTAATTTAATTTGTAATTTATTAGAACATGTTTTCCCTTTAACTAACCTGCTGTGCTTGCAATACTATCACGATTTGCTTTTGATTTTCGTTTTTCATCTTTTAAACCTAAAAAAATAGAATATTTCTTCATAAATTTAGTTTCATAGTCTTACTTGATCGTCTTTCTTTTTGTTCTGATGAAACTTTCGTTTTTGTTTTTATTAATTTAAAACCATTTTTTTTCTTTGGTCTTAAAAGACTTTTGAAATCTTGTGCAGTTGTTAAAGCTTCTTCACTTGTTTCAGTGCCAATTAACATTGTACTACTTTTTTCTTTTGATGTAGTTGATTTAGTTGAAAATAATTTTCGTTTACGATCGCGTTCGTCATCACCTATCAAGAAATTTTCTTTCAAAAACTATCTATTTCTTACACATTAAATAACAAACCTTCTCCTGGATCACGATCATCTGGTAATGTAGTCATATTTAAATAAAAAACAAATCTAGAAAGAATAGAAAATTGATAAATCGATCTATTGTTATCATATTCCAAAGGTTAAATGTGTGATTGATAGGTTATGATTATTGTTGGAAAATAATTTGTCGAAAAGAAACATTTTTTTCAGTTAGATAGCGTTACATTCCTAGTAAATAGGAAATTTGTTATTATTATTATTCCTAACCAATGAAATAAAATGTCGCTATTTGATTTTCGATGAATATACTTAATTCTTATTTTTTAATTTAGAAAAATAAATAGAAATAAATTTTTAATTATGTTTATTAATAAATTAATCTTTTTAAAAAAGGACAATATCGATGAATGATTAGAATTTGATTGGTTTATTTAATATTGGTTGGTTGCTTGTTGTCCTGCTTTTAATTTCCATGTTTTTTTTTCGTGAACACTAAACTTCATCATTAATTCTTTTACTATTAAAAACTTGTCTTTCATTTTATAACAAAAAAAAAACACTCAAAACTTTTTCATAACAATTAATTAATGAAATAGATTTTTCTTCGTATTGAATCATCATTTGGACACCAAGAATAAATATAAATTTATTTTTTTTCTAGATTTTATTCCGACTATTTCTCTTGCAAGAATAAAATGGCAGCACGTGGTTCAGCACGTAATTCTCGTTTGAATAAAAAACCAAAAAAGACCAAATTACGTGGTATGTTAATTTAAATATTTTGGAGTAAATTTTTTTCTATTTAAAAATATTTAAGGTAACGTCTCACATGGTCATGGTCGTGTTGGTAAACATCGTAAACATCCAGGTGGTCGTGGTAATGCTGGTGGTCTTCATCATCATCGTACACTTTTTGATAAATACCATCCGGGTTATTTTGGTAAAGTTGGTCAACGTGAATTTCATAAACTTAAAAATCGTCGTTGGTGTCCAACAGTTAATCTTGATCGATTATGGTCATTATTAACTCAACGTACACAAGAAAAACTCAGTGGAGGAGAAGCTGCTGTTACACCTGTTATTAATGTTGTACGATCAGGTTATTTTAAGGTGTTAGGCAAAGGTGTTTTACCTAAACAACCATTTATTGTTAAGGCAAAATTTTTCTCAAGACGAGCTGAAGAAAAAATCAAAGCTGCCGGAGGTGCTTGTGTATTATTGGCATGAGACATTCATATATCGTTTTGTCTCGATTAAAAGAAAAAAAATAAATAAATGAATTATCATCATCGTTTTTCGTTTGTATTTCGATACTGTTGCTTGTTTAGTTTTTTTTTGTATAAGCACATAAAAAACAAACGAAATTTCAATTTATTTCTGATGCGTATTTATATCGTTCGAGTTCAATTAGATTTATCCTAATCGATGTAAATACTTACTGAATGCTTAACACAATCAATTATAAGAAACAGATATATTAGTAAAAAAAAAGAGAATTTTCATGATTTTAAAAGCAATACGTTCGATCGAACTAATTATTATTAGATCATTTTGTTTTGATGATTATGAATTTGCTCAAAAAAAAGGTGTAGAGAGTAAATTGCCATTGAAGTACTACATTGATCATTTGGAATATTCTTTAGTGAAATAGAGCGTACAAGAACGCATGATTATTGTGTTACAAAGGATATCCTCTGTTGTTTTAAAGTAAATAATCTAGATAAAATACTTCGTAATAATACTAAAAGTATTTTAAGTCCAAATAGACTAGAGAAAGGTAACAACGATATAATTTTCATGTACTTAAAATACAAAAAGATTGAAAGAAAACAAAGTCTGCTATTTTACTACAATTATTAGAGTACTAGACTGAGATCCTATAATAACAGCCGTAGAAAATTATCGTACTTCGTGTATAAGCCTTCGATTCGTTTCATTCAAAAATTATATAATTATAGCCTTTATTCTTAAAGGTTTTAGTAGAGAAATCATGCTCAAAAACAAAAAATTACATCTACCTTTATTAGAAGTATTTCTCTTCCTTTCGACGCTTTAATGAAAATATAACGAAAAGGTATATTGCTGAAGAAGAATATTTGTTACAAGTTTCCTACTCAAGAAAGTACTAAAGACTTCTTTAGCAGTTGCATAGAACATCTTGAAGTCTCTTATAATTTAGAAATTCATGAAAAGCCAACGTTGCATCATATAGTAAGAAGATATTTAAAATCGATTACTGGCCTTATTGGGCGTTATAGTTTTAACTAGATGTAATTCTCAATAAAATTTTTGCATCATTAGGATAGTCCGACAAACTAATCGGACACGCTAGAGCACATTGGAGAATGTTAAAAATACTCCCGTTACAATAGAGTTCATCAAGTTACTTTACTGATCTAAAACTTTCATCAATTATCGTTTCAAAAAAATTACTTATCTTCGTTATACCTTTGTAGATCCTGATAAAGGAAAAAACTTTCGCACGAATGACTATATTTCTCTTATTATGATACTACTGTTTCAAAAAATGTAAAAGATGTTTTTCTTCAAAGATCTATCTTTGACTGTATTTTCATTATAGCATCATTATTAGTACCTAGATACGACTTAGCGTTGGAAATAGGGAAATTATTTCTAATAACGACAGATGCAACTTGTTATCGTAGGCCTCTAATTTCTCTACTAAACCCTTTAAGACGAAAAGCTGTTGTTATACAATTTGAATGAGACAAATAGAAGGCTTAGACATATATAAATATATATTTGTAGATTGTGTGAGAAATAATGACGCACGAAGTGAAGCAGTGTGTGACACTTTTTACGATTGTTTTCACGGAAATTGGCTATACTACAGAAACACTTCTATGCATTGGTGTATGAAAATAATTAATATAGAAACTATTTACAAATCACACATTTATTCGATCCCTTATTATAACTAAATACATTTATAATTAGCCAAAAATTTCATATATTGTTTATTTGAACTGAATGTCATCAAGAACAGACGTAGTTTTTCTCGATATTTTCGTCATCTAAATATAGATAGTCTAATAACTAGTATAATTGTATTCAAGATTTCCGGTCTTATTTCATCATTGTTATTAAATATTTTTCCTTAAATGACTCGATTTACAGTTTTCATCGGTAGAAATACTATGTCACTAATTGCATCAGTATTTTTTCTTGGTTAATTTAATAAAAGAAAAAAAAACATCAAATTAAATCATATTGATTTATTTTAAATACACAAGATATTTTATTTCTTTATGAATACACGTATACAGAAAGAGAGAAAACAAAACACAAGAAACCAATGAAAAAAAATAATTGTTAACATATTATATAAAAGAAAACTATATTTTAAGCCAAGTATTTTCTTTGTTTTTTGTTTTCATCTAGATAAAATTAATAACAAAAAAAACAAATCAAAATATAAAAGACCAACAACAAATGACTTTATCACACGAATATTATAATAGAATAAAATAAAACTCACAAGAGATAAAAAAAACAAAAAACGAAAGAAAGAAGAATGAAAACAAACACCGATCTATATGAGAAATATAAAGAATCTTGGAAAGAAATACTCAGTCTATGAAGGGATCAGTGCGTATAATAATAGAAAATAAAATCTTGTTTACTATTTGTTTAAGAGAAAAAAAAGAGAAGAAGAAGAAGAAACAAACAAATATATATATATATTATTTATGTGTGTTCGAGCAAATCATAGAGAGGACATTTAAACGCGTCCAAGCGTAATACAAGACAATAGCGATTACATCGTCTAGGTAATAATTAAAAATAAAAACAAAAACTATTGTACTTAATTTTATTCCTTAGATATTTTATGACGTTTATTTGATGATGATGATGATGATGACGATATTTGCTCATTTGTATGTCTTCCAACTAAAGATTTTGTTGGTGATTGATGTCGATAAACAGGTTTACCATTTGATTTCGTTGATGATACTCTTCGTTGTTCAGTTATAGCTATAATTATATCACCACATTCTAATTGACGACATTTTAAACCACATGCATGATATGTATGTTCAGGAGATATTGATGACCAACATGAATGTTGATGAACAAAAAAAGGCATTTCTTGTAAAACATAATACGAAGTCTAAAAAGAAGAAATGTTTTTATTAAAAAATTTTTTATTTCTTCTTACCGTTTTTTCCATATCATCAATATGAAAACGTAATTCAGCTTTACCAGTCATTTTATCAACTGGACTAATATAATCTATTCGGGCTAAAAGACTAAATAAATAAAAGTTTTATTAGCAAAAATTTTATTTTCGAAAAAAACTTTATTAAACCTTGAATATTGACGACTTCGTTTAGCACTTGTTAAGAAATCATTTGTTGTTAATTGTTGAATATTTTTTGGTTCACCTGAATCTAAATTCACTAATGTATCTTGACGAAATTTTGTTAAAAATATTTCATCATCAGTTTTATGAGAAGGTAATTTTTGTAATGAACGAGAATTATAATGACGAAATGAACTAGTTCGTGGATCATTATCATTAGATGAATCATCTGACAGTTGATCAGCATTTAATTTAGATGATAAAAATCGATGATAATTCCATGTATGTAATAATTCCATATAATTTCGAGTTGGTGATACAAGATCAGTATAAGAAAAATGTTGATATGAATTTGTTCCATTTGAATTCAATGTTGGACTATGAGTAAAATTAGGTGAAGGTAAATTTAAATTTGTAGGACCAAATCTAAATGTTGGTGATGAATTGGTCATTTCACTATTTGTATTTACTGTGGAGGGATGCATCTGTTTTCTTTGTGTTACTTATCTAATCACTGCGTATTGTTTATTCCACAGACTACTAAAAAGAAGAGAGAGAAAAAAAAGAAAATTCTATATCTGATAAATAATAAAACATTATTTCATATCTTTAGCATCAAAAGAAAACAAGATTTCTTTTGATTATTTTAAAAAAAAAGAATTTCTAACTGAATGAAAAAAATTAAAAATAACCCATTGAGAAAATTTTCTCTAGCCACAAGACAATCTCTTCTAAATGAAATGAAGCTTAAAGAAAAGAAAAGCATGAAAAAATACGTAGTATACTCTACTCTACTCTACTTTTATAGTTAATGACTGCTTACGTCGATTGACAGTCAGATAGTCAACGAAAACGGGATTGTTTTTTAGGCGGGCACAGGAAAAAGGGGAAACGAGAACGAGAAAGAAAAAACCAACAGAGAGAGAGAGAGAAAGAAAAAAGACATGCGTCCTGCCATATTTATATATCGATGACTCTTTAAAAAGAGCATATGTATGTTAAAAACATGCACGATCAATAGAGTATTCCTCTAATCTCGATTACACAAAACAAAAAATATTCAAATTTCATCACTTCATAGTTCTATATATATATACACATATAGGACACTTATTTTTACTCGATAGTAATAAAAAATTTATCAAAAAAACAAGCAAATAATAAAGTAGTATATTGCATCAGATTACATTCAAGAGAAAAACCCAAGTTGTCATTTTTTTTTCTTTTTCTTATTGATTTAAGATCAATTGACTCTGACAAGAATAAATTTTACTTTTAACCCTAGATTTTTTTAAATAAAAAATAAACAAGAAAAAATACTGTATTCTTTTTTTCAATGCGTACATATATGCATATAGTAATAATAATAATAATAATAATAATAAAAATACTAACAACGTCAACACTATTTATCAATTCTCTAATCTTTCAACCCACTTACCTTAGATTCTTTGACATTTGTTTGTTAGTTGTAATACTGACGATGGCAATTCGTAACTACAGAGAAAAAGAGGAAAAGGCCGCCGATGTTGTCGTCGTTACAACTATCTACCCTTTTATTTTCTTTTTCTTCTCTTATTTCTTTTTTTTTCTTGCCGTATTATTTCACGAAACCAGAAAAAGAACCGACGTACGCACACATTTTACCCCCTATTTTTCTTTACATGCTGTAATATATTCGCCAATCTTCATTCTATAGATGCTCTTTAGTGCCAAAAGAACGTTAAATAAAAGAAAGGAAAACATCAGCTGCAAAACAGATGAGAACAATGAGTAGATAAGAAAACGAGCTGTGTTTTTTTATTATTATTGAGATTTATTCAAGTTTTAAAAAAAACACATTTTATTCAGGTAAAAGATCAGCAACATCATCGTTGTCATCAAATAGTGCTCTATTCATATCACTTCGACGTATAGCTGTCATAGGTCGTTGATCTGGCATATCGCGAGAGAGTTGATCAACAAATGGATGAATAGTAACAGGTTCTAAATTAAAAATAAAAATAAAAATTTTTTAAAATAATTTAAAATACCTTGTTGAGAAAAAACTCCTTCGGTATTATCCAAATCGATTGGTGTACGTTTACGACCACTTAATTGACGATTATCATCATTTTTAAAATGAGACACTAAAATAAATATAAATCAATGAACTAGAAACAAGATATTTAATTTTTACCATCATTTTCAGCACGAGATACTTTTCGACCCCCTACAGCAGCACGACTATTATTTGCACTTGTTTTACGCTAAATACAAAAGAGATGGGAAATATTGAGAAAAAAAAATAAAAATACTTGTTCTTGAATTTTTTTCATTTCATTTGCTTTTTTTAATTCAGCTTCATATGTCTCACGTTCAGGGAGACCAAGATCCGTTGAAATTTTAACCAAAAATTGTATACCTAGAATAGTATTGTATAATTATTTATCTTTCCAAATACAAAAACAAACCTAGTACAAGAAAAAATAAACGCTCGTTCTTATCATACTATTAGATAACATACAAAAAACCTCTATAAATATTTTTTTTTCAATTTTACAAAGGTCAAATAATGGTTAAAAGTGAAATAATAATCTTCTAACGTAAAAATGTCAGACTTTAAGATAAAAATAAGATTTATAATAAGAAGAATTAATGAGAATGTCATATGACACCAAAGAAAAATGAAATTATAATCATGACTATCATTTACGTTGTTACAATACTATATCATACATTAATAATTTAATCTCTCAAGGGATATTGACTTTGTCTAAAAATATAGTAAATTAAATTGTGTTTGATCTTTTTCTAAAAGTACACGATTAATTAATTTTTTTTGTTTTAAAATAAATGACCCTAGATAAGATTTTTCAGTCGTATAATCATGAAAATCTTACAATCGATATTATCAGGAAAATGTGAATGAATCCATTTATATTTTTCTAATGCTGCTGTATAATCTCCACTACGACGATAACATGAAGCAACCATTAAATGCCATTTTATTTCTCCTGGTCTGAAATAAAAAAGTTTCTTTCGTAAAAAAAATAAATTCCTTTTTTTGTTACTTGACTAATGCAGCTTGTGCACAAAATTCTACAGCCTTTTCAGGATATTGTGTTTCAATATAATAGTATGCAAGCCATTCCAATGTATCTATATCGCATGGATTATGTCGATAAGCCTTTCATTTGAAAAAACAAAAATATACATATATATATACAAGTAACGCTCGTTCGAGGACTCGCTTAGCTCTTCCTCGTAGAAATGCATCCTCTTCACATTTACTGGAAAAACCGGTATTCGATATTTTTTACCTCCTCCTCACTATGGTCACCCAATAGACCTCAGATTCGAAGTCCCCGTATCGAAAAACTTCTAGAAATGTCTTTTTCGAAAAATCAGTTTGCGATGTTTTTTTGACCCTGCGGACAGACAAGCAATCAATCAAACAAACAAACAATTTATTCTTGCCAGACTCCTCTCTACGAGAAAAAGAATAAATAGATTTGGAATCTTACGTCAAAATAATATTGTATAGCATCTGATTTATCTCCTTGTTTATCAATAACTTCACCTATTCTTCGGTGTAAATGTCCATCTGTTCGATATGTACTTAATGCTTGTAAGTACCTAAAGAAAAATTTAAGAAAAAAATCTATTTCGTTTTTATTTTCTTACCAACTCTTTGCATGTTCAGTATCATTAGTTTGTTGTAATGCTTCTGCCATTAAACAAAAAACTTGCGCATTTGTTGGTTGTATTACTGTATATTTATGAAGAAGATCTTTAACACGTTGATATTGATTTGATTTCATCAATGTTAAAACTTAAGAAAATAAGAAAAAAAAATACAATTGAAATTGATGTCTATATACATACTAAGATTATGCAAAGCTTCAATTGAACCTGCATCAACATTTAAAGCTTCTTCATAATAATATCGAGCTTTATCATAATCTTGTTGAGCAAAACAACAATTGCCCTTATTGGTTAAAGCTTATAATGAAAAATAAATTAATAATAACGAAAATTTTTTATTTTACATACAAGCTGGATTAAATTTATCAGATTTTAAAGCTAAATCAGCATATTTATGTGCATTATTAAGATCTTTTTCCTACAAGAAAAACTAAATAAATATTTCATATAAATTAAAAAAGAATTTTTTTACCAAAAAGTATAAAAATGATAGATTTGTTGCAGCTAAAAATAGAATAAATCATATAATTTTTGATTTAAATGTTATATAAACCTGCGCTAGCTAATTTTGCTTCAGCTTTTTCGAATTCTTTCAATGTTGCAATAGCCTAGAATAGGAATATTTCTATACGTAATCAAAAGAAAGATTTTTTATCTAACTTTTGGAAAATTATCTTCACGTAAATACGCAATAGCTTTTTGAATTTCCAAACCACTCGCTAATTCAAGATACGTAGAATTTCGTACTTGATCAATACACCATTCATATCCACTAACAAAATCTCCATCAGAATTATTTCCAACTATTTTAGCAGCAGTAACAACAACATGTTCTGCAAAACGTCGTCTGAAGAACAAAAAACGTAATTTAATTCTAATTAAACAGACGAATAATACCGTTTTCTTTCAAATTGTCTTAATCGATCATCTCGTGTTGCTTCTAAAACAAGAGTTGCGTGTTTATCTTCTTTATCAACCTAAAACAAAACAATAAATTTTCAACATAAAATAATCATATGAATTATTCATACTGATGGTTGATAATCTTCATCAGAACTTAAAAATGGTATTTTAAGTAAATCAGTAAAAACACGTCGAGTTTTATCACGTTGTCCTAATGTATGATAACAAAGAAGTAGATTTAAACCACTGCGATAATTTGGTCGTTCTTGCATTATAGATTCATAAGCTTGTGCTGCTTCAGCATATTGACTCATGAGTATATGTGTCGCAGCTATATTTTCACGAACTTTAAATCTAAATTATGGAAATTTCTGCGTGTTTTATTATTTATTAACAAAATTTGTTTTTTACTTTAAATCAGCATTTTGTTCGGGTATTTGATCGAGTGCCATACGATACATTTTTAATGCTTTAGCATATTGTTTTGAATGTAAAAATACATTTCCAATGTTAATTCGTCTAAGAATAAAATTTAAATTAAAAAAACAAAATTTTGTTTTAGTCTTATTTGTATTTACAAACGACTTGGTACAGGTAATAATTTATTTTTTAATAAGATGTTATATTGATTCATTGCTTCGGAATTCATACCACATTTAGTATACATATTGGCACAATGAAGAATCACCTAATGAATCAATATCGAAAATTTTTGTTTTTCTATTAAATCATTTGTAATACTTACAAATCCAGCGAGATTCATATCAGTTTCTCCAAGATTTTGTTCTTCTCGATATCGACTAAGACTTTTTTCATTTCTCATTGCTTCTTCTGCTTTTTCAAGTGCCTAAATGAAAAGAAAAGTCGAATACTTTATAGAAAAGAAACAAATCATATTCTTACTAATTTTGAATCATTTTTTTCATGAGCTAAACAACTCTCTTCAACAAGATCAATAACTGTTTTTTCCATTTTTTTTGCTTTATCTTCGTTCCTTAAAATTCATAACTAATTCATTTTTTCAATTCTTCATTTAATTATACACATACGTTTCTTCTTTTTTTTCAAATAGTGTAGATCCTGATGTGGTTGTACTACCTAAACTACTAGCCATAAATCCTGCACCTTGTACCGCAGTTGTTGGTCGTTTTTGTCCTGTTGCTGCGCCAGTTTGAAGACGACGTGATGCTGAACCAGGTGGAGCACCCATAAGACTACCTTGTTGAGCCGCACGAGATGCAGTTCCTAATCGGCCAGAAGATGTACCTGGTGGTGCTCCAAGACCTGTACTTTTCTGTCGACTGAAAACATTTTTCATTTTCGAGAAAAAACCAGCCTAAATTATTTTAAAAATGTTTAATGAAACTACAAGTAAAATATGTTACCTTTTGAGCACCTGTACCAACTTGGCCAGTCTAAATATACAACGATTTTGCTCAATATAAATTTAAAATATAAGCAAAAATTACCGGTGGTGCTCGTCGACCATGACTGGTTTTAAGAACTGCTTGTTGTAAATCATTATCATATTTCAAACTCTTTATAAATAAATTATTAGAATAATTTCATTAAAATAAAATTTTCTAGACTTACATCTGTATCTAATAGAGGATTATACTCATTAAAACCAGAATAAGAATCAGGTTTATCAGTCATAATTTTTATCTGAAAGAAAAGGTTTCAGATTATCATAATTTTAGAATGTTTGTTTTAATTCTATGTAAGATTAATATATTAAAAATAGGGTATCTACAACAATTAATTTTATTTAATTTAAGTTGATGAAAATCCTGTACGTTTTGTTTGAAATTCAGTTGGTGGATTGATTGTTTCAGGTAGATGAATACGTCGATATTGTTCAACATCAGTTATCAACTAAATGAAAAAAATATTTGAAATGTTATTTTGTTGTTGTTTTTTATTATTACTTTTGGCAATCGGCGAACATTTTTATCTTGTAAATAATCTCGAAATGCATTAACACCATGTAATGGTGCAAGACGAGCATTCTAGATCACAAAGTTATGACAATGAAATTTTAGAGAAAATAAATGAAATATTTTTACAATTTGTTCTTCACGCTGTCGTGTCACATCTTCACGTTCAGCTTTTAATACTTTTGGATCAAGAAGTTCTTCAGTTATCAATGTGCGATGCCAAAGATTTTTCGGTAGATACCACGCACCATATCGGTATTTTTGTGTACGTGGTTCGTCATCTATAAGTGGCCTAGCCATTTCTCTCGATTTAGCACTACTTGCTGCCAGACGCTAAAAATTAAAACAAAAACAATCATCTTTAATCTACAGAAAGACATATTTTCATTATTTTCAATTAACTTGAGAGGATAGTAAAATATTTCAGAGAAAAAACTCATGACATGCACATAGATACTAGTTTATCTTACGGTCGCAGTCTATTATTAAGAATAAATTATACGATTACTAAAAGTTTTATTATACTAGCTCATTATTTCTCTGTAATACAATCTCAGCTCTTAAATTACCAATTCTGCTAAAGTTGCGTGCGGTTGTTCTGATTCAGGAATCATTGTATCTTGCACACCTTCTCGTAATTCAACCGGAACCTAATTAAAAAAATTAAATTCTAAGTCAAACATATTTTTTTTAACGAACTCTTGTCATTTCAATGACTTTAATTGGTACATTCAACGATGGTTTAGTATCATAAGCAGTTGAAAATAAATTTCGAACAACAGCTGGATCAATATCTGTATTTGCTTCAGTACTAAGATCATACAACCATGCACAAAATTGTTCAGAAACACTACGAAGTCGTACTTCCTATAATAAAATAAAAGAATTTCGATTAAGTTTTTGTTTTTAAATTTAAAAAATAATTACCATAGCTGCAGCTGCTTGTTCATCTTGACTAGGTCCTTTTGCTCTTTGTTTTTGTCGTTGTTTTTCAATAAACCATCGATAAGGATTCTTTTGTTTTTTTTCATACTCATCCGCACTCCATTGATTACCTGACTCATCATAGACAACTCCATTTCGTCCTATTTTACTCACTTTAACTTTATTCTCAGATGATTCTGTTATTTGAGTATTTACATCAATATGTCCTTTTGTTGTTAAATCATTTGATAATTCATCTATTGGTCTATTAACGAAATAAAAAATAATTATTATTCATGGCAAAATCAATTAAATATCTAACTCATTATCATTAATTTCTGTTTGAATTAGTTCATCATTCGAATCTTTTTCTTCATCAACTGATGATTTATGTTCATCAACATCGAAACGTAATAATTCAGCTTCGAATAGTTTTGTTACTCGTTCATATATCTATGCAAAAGAAAAATGTGAATTGATATATATTTAATATATATTATACTTCAGGTGATAACATTCGACTAAAATGTTCAAAGAATGCGACTGGATGTTCAAGTAAATGTGATATATATTTATCAATTGTTCGACGTCGTTTTTCTGCAGCTGGAATTTCTCGACTATAATACATTTGATGATCACTAAAACGAGATTGTACACGTGCTACAGAAGATTTTACTCGACGATGATCAGATATTAATACAGGTCCAAGTCCTTTTTCCGGCTATTAATATAAATGAAAAATAGAATCATACTAGTTCCTAGAAATAATATATACTTGTAGCATAATATCATCATGTGACGGTGGTAATCCATCTCGAAAATCATCAAGACCATCTTTGACAAACTTCCAATTTTTTGTATTTATATTACATGGATATTTCATTCGAATTCTTTCGCGGTACCTATTGAATAATTATAAAACAAATGAGAGATGTGTTGTTTTGTTTCCTAATTAGATCTAATGCAAGAATTTAGAATAGTATAAGCAGCTAATTAGAGAATCATCTCACTTATTCTTATTTATAGTCCTAGATTTAATTTTATAATAAAAATAATAATAAGAATCAGAAGAAGAAAATGATATACCATGGTTGAAATTTAGGAGAACGACGTCGATCATCTACCGTTGGCAGAAGTACATATTTAAGATCGTTATTCATAATACACTTGATCTAGAGGAAATGAACAAATTTGATTGAGTACCATTGAATCATACTATGTAAATTATTGCTAAGGTACCGATGTAGATTAATTTTACGTAACAATTTCAACGAAGAAAAATATTTTTTTATTTATGATTTATAAGATACAAAAATTATTTTTTTAAATTCAACAAAATTCGAAAAATAAATTTTACAATAGAGGGCGCTAGATATCGATTGTAAATTTATGCATCTCGATAATCAACATTACACATTGAATTGCTAGTAATTCAAAGTCTTTTCTATAGAAGAAAAAAGAATTTATTTTGTTTCGATATAAAACATTTTAATATCATTTTTTTCTATACAACAAAATAATTGTATGAAATAATTTTCTATTCAACAAAAAAAGAGCTTCCCTGCTGTTATCAAGTATTATAATCATTTCAAGAAGTCTCGAGCATTGTATTAAACTCCTATCGTCATCTATTTTTGAATCCTCGTTTTCTATATGAAGTAAAATTCAAGGTCATACATTATAAATTCTACTGAATGGTAATTTTATTCTAAATTGAAATTAGATCATCTTAGATAAGTTTATTTAATTAATATAAAAATAGTAACATTTATAGATTTTATTTCAAATCATCTAAACAACAAAAATGATTTCTTTTTTGACCTATATTAACATTATTATTATAAAATATGTTCTTGCTACTTTATTTTGACATTGTAACAAAACAGAAATGTTAACTAATTACCTCTATCGACATTTGTTATCCATTAGAACAACGATTGTCAAAAGACTAATGTCATTAGAAACATTATTCATATTTAATAGAACAAAAAAGAATATATAGATAATCTGGTTGGGGTTCATTTAAGACTTCAAATAATGAAAGATTTTAATCAACAAGTTACTAATTCTTTTGAGAACACTTTCAAAAGAAAAAAAAGGCGAAGGAATCAAGAGTTATTCTTGAAATAATAATAGAAGCCAAGTGTTAACATATATTATTAAAATTCAAAATAAAATTCATTTGCATATTTTACCAATAAATATAAGTAGGGAGAGAAAATGGCAATACTTTCAATTAAAAATTATATATTTTGAATAACAATTATTCAAGGTTAATTTTACAAGTTAATCCAGAAATCGTTTTTCGCTCTTTTTCCAATTATTGAAAAAACAATTTATTAATTAATTTACACAAAAAACATCATTTTTTTTTCTTTAAGATGTTATCTCTCCTTCCATTTTTCCACCCTCTCTCTCTCCTTCTCTCTCCTACATCAAAACAAGCAAACAAGAATACTAATTTATCCAAGGTTTGTTATTTACTATGAATATATATTTTACTATATCTTGATGAATCTTTTAAAAGATAAAAACTTTTATTCATTTATTCTTTTTTTCCTTGTTCGAAGAGAAAAAAAAACATTTTTTTTAGCAAAATGAAAAGAAACAAAAAAAAACGCAAATGTAAATAAAACAGTAAAATTGAATAAAAGACGAAATAGAGAATACTTTCGAAGAACAGAAGAGAAAAACGATTATGAATATTGAACATAAGAGATATACTGTGCACCGGGCAATCGCATAAACACACACACACACATATATATATATGCGCGCACACGCACATATGACATTAAGAAAACAGAGATTAATAGAATGTGTAAAACCACTCATACACACAAAATGTACAGGAAAAGAAGAGGGTGTCGAACATCCCATTTAGATAATTATTTATAAAAAAAAATGATAAATGAGATTCACTGTTATTTCTTTTTCGAATATATTATACAAAAAATGAACTGTCAACACACCTGACCGGACATAGAAAAGAAAAAATACTGTTTGTAATACTGTCAGATAGTTTTCTATTGTTTTAAAATGTTAAGCACCTCAAATATTACATTTACTTAATCAGCAAAAACAAGCGCCTTTGGAGAACGATCACTACCATCTGTACTACATTCATCATCAACAACTTCATCTTCATCATCATCGTCTTTTAAATCTATAGAAGAAAAATAATTAATAAAACTCATTAGTGAGAGAGAGGAAAAAAACAAAATATTTACTAAGATATTGGCCACCTTCAGGTGATAGTTGATCATCGAAGGGACTATGTTTTCGTTGTTTTAGCATTTGTTTATACTCCGACCTGTCAAAAAAAGAAGAAAAAAAAAAGAAAGAAAATATATGTATTATTTATTAATTTAACTATCTATTTAATTATCTATTAGCTGATGATAAGGTCGAAACTTACCAACGCATTTTCTTACCGTCGATGACACAGGTTCTTTTTGGTCGTGGTCTAATGAAATAAATTAAAAAGAAGAAACAATTTTTATGAATGAAATGAATAAAGAAATTTTTTTTTTGTTTGAATATTTTATATACCTATATCGATAATCAGGATATTTCTCCATATGAACTTTACTTAAACGTGATTGTTCTTCATAATAGGGTTGTTTTTCTTCATTACTCATTGCTTTCCATCGAGCACCTAAGATTTTACTAATACTTGAATTATGCATATCGGGACAGGCTTTTAAAATTTTTCGTCTTTCTTCACGTGCCCAAACCATAAATGCGTTCATTGGTCGTTTTATATGATCAATTGATGACGTTGATGACGATGTTGTATTCGTTGAATTTGTTTCATTGTTACTTGTTAAGATTGATAAACTATTTGGTGGTGAATGACGATTGTGATGATGATGATTTCGATCTTTTCGATTATTTCCTCCGTGACGAGCTATAAAAAAAGAAAAGTATTGTTTTACTCAATGAGTATTATCAATTTAATTGAGTTGTTCAATATGAATAATCTTTCTACGATAGACATAAACTTAATTCAATGAATATATCATTTAGTATCTTTTTCAATTCAATAAGTGAATTAAAATTCATCGTATAAATACATTGAAACAAATTTTAATCACAATTGTTGTTCAATTAAATATCTATTTAAGCAAAACAATTCATTATTATAATTGATTGATATAGCATACACATTTTCCCTTTTTCTTCCTTTTTTTTTACTAATATCAAATATCTTATTCGAACTAATAGATGATAGTGCACATACTAATAAGTGACATATTTTATTTGCTTTATCAATCTTTTTTAAATCAAGGTTTTATATTATATATTCATTAACCCATACAACAAGGTTTCATGTTTAATTGAAAATAGATTTGATATTAAAACGTATCAGACATAGATACATATTTCTATGAAAAATAATATTTATTCGTCTCAATATCTTATTAGAAAGAAAAGAGAGAAAAAAAAAGATACGGTATGTTAACCAGCAAATGTATACAACGTTTGTCTATGTGAGCACTATTCTCATCATCATTATTAGTGGATATCACAGCCTTGTATCTTTTCTTCTCTCTCTCTCTTTCCCCTATCTTTTCTTTCTTGTTCTTTTTTCTTTCGTTTAAATATGTGTATAATCGACTAGGGTCTTTTTTTTCCTTTCTTTCGTTGTTTTTGTTATATATTTCTTTTTTTCGTCGTATCATTACCAATCGACCCAATCGGAATGTGATTTGGTTGGACGATTTACATTTCTTTTTTTTTCGACCATGGAAGACTCTTTCTCTAGCATACAAGTATACTCAACTCACCTAATGATGATTCTTTGTCAATAGACAAATCGCGATGATGATGATGATTATTATTGTTGTTGTTGTTGTGATGGTTATTATTATTTGTATTTACTGTTTCATGTAACGCTGAAGATAAATTTGAGTGATGTGAAAGATGACTTGATGTTGGTGGAAAAGCATACATATTTAAACCTAATTAAAATGAGATAAAATATATGATAATTTCAACTAATACTTTACATTTACCAGCAAAAGGAGAAGGTAATGAACATCGTGACGAACCATTTTCTCCATTTTTTACATTCTAAAAAGAATATATGCATATATATAATCTGAATAAAACATAAAGAATTATTCTTTCTACATACTATTGAATCATTAAGTACATTTGCAGCTGATAGTTTTAAATAATTTTGTAAATGAGTCATATTAGGTACTAATAGAATATTTTAATAATCAAATGATTGTTAGTTATTTTAGAGGAAAAAGAAATTACCTGAAAATGAAGGAAAAAATGGTTTTTCATAGAAAAGTGCTTGTGAAGGATACATTGCTGATTGTAATGATAATGTTGGTGTTGATGGTGATGGTGAACTGACTGTTGTTGTACTTGGACTCATATCATCACTATTTGTTGATGATAAACGTGTTTGTTGTCGTTTTTTTGGTTTAGATAAATTTAATGGATGTGAATCATCATAAGTCATATTTGCTATTAAAGAACTTCTTTCATGATTAGCATCATTGTCAATTGTTTTTATTCTTTCACGTAAATGTTGTAAACTATCAATAAGACAATCAATCGTTAATAGTAAATTTTCATCATTATTTTCAGATTTCTTTTCTTCTAATAAGGAACGTATTGAATTAAATATCATTGCTGCATTGATTTTTGTTGTTGATGGTGATGAATTTACTGGAACTGTTGGTAATGAAGGAATATTTTTTTCAAGTTTTATATTATTTGTTAATATAGATGGTGACGCTGATGATGAGGTTGTTGTTGTTGTTGTTGTTGTTATTGCTGAGGTAGATGGTCTAGAGATTTTCGATGATGGAATATTTTTACGACGTTTTCGTTGCGGTTGTGGTTGATCTAGATTAGGTAATGGTGTGACTTTTATTTCTGATTGAGATTCATTAGTTTGAGTTGTATTAATTGCATCTTTTACATGATTAATATTATCGTTAGATTGTGATGTATGTGTCATAGATTCATCATTATGGATGTTTGATTCAAGTCGATCACCATTTGATTCTTGATTATTAAATAAAGGTGAACCATTACTTGTATTGACATCTGTCAAAATTAGTATTTTATATTTTATATATTCTTTCATATTTTCCAGAACAAAAAAAGGAAATAAAAAGGCGAATAGTACTATATCTAAGCTACTTACGTTCATTATGATCGTTTAATGGAGTGTTATTGTTGTTATAAAAAATATTATTTGATGATGTTCGTTCAAGAAGTTGTTCAGTTTTAATATATTTAGCTGTTGTCAATGATGAATTTGTCGTTGAACCATCATCAGCACATAAAGATGTTGTTGATGTAGACGAGTCAAACTGATCAAAATTACACTTTCTTTTAAGCGACATTAATTAGAATAATAATCTATAAAAGAAAATAAAAACCCATCTTGATTGTCTCTCAAATAAATAAGCAAATTGAGACAGACGAGTATGCTTATATGACTATGTTTATGTGTCTATTCATGTCAACCATCACATCAACTATTATCTGACGTCAACAAGAGTGAGACAGATAAATAGAGAGAGAGAGAGAGAAAAAAAAGACAATAGCTGCCTCATCGAATCAGGTTCATTGATCAAATTTAACTGGCAGAAAGCGTGTCGACAGTAGCGGTAGTTTGAATCATATACAAAGAAAGACATGCATGTGCATACAAAAGGAAAACAGAGGCATCTGCTCGCGTTGCATTCATCTGTAGTCTCTCTCTCTCTTTCGAACGTAGATTCTGCGACAGCAGTATAAGACAAAAGAACAATGGAAAACGAGAAGAGGGAGCAATAAGCGAGAAAATCTCCCTTACTCTTTTCTTTTTTACTCAATGTTAATCGGCGCATTCAAGTGTCATGTTGATCTTCACCGACGATGACTACTACAACAACAACGACGATAATTCTAGTAACAAAGCAAAGATTCAGGAATAGTTGCATATATATAAATATATATATATATATATATATAATATAATATATTTATATATTTGTATAGGTGCATGCACATTTATATCAATCGATAAATGAAAATGAATGAAACCTTACTATTGCTCTCTTTTCTTTTTCTTCTCAATTGAAATCGATAGATTTGAAGGTAAAGATTTGTTCGGTTGCTCGGACGGATAATTTATAATACGTGAGAACCACTTTTATGAATATAAAAAAAAGGAGTAAAAGAAAAGAGAAAAACCTTATGTATGTTCGTTTTGTCTGTTTCCTCTTAACTCATATTAAAAAGAATAAGTAGAAAAAGAAGACGAAGGAAAAAAATGGCATTACATTGCATTATTATACTAAGCAAGAATCAGCAGGTGAAGACAGGAGACATAATAAAATGACGATATATATATATATATATAAATATATGTATGTGTGTGTGAATATAGAATAATTTAACATGATTATAGACATAAGAAAGAACGTTCAAGAATAACAATCAAAAGTAAAATAGCGAAGCAAGAGTAAGATAGAAAGTGATCATATATCTATATTGAAATATATAAAATTGAATCATCATCATCATCAACATTATCATCCGGTTTGTATACGAATGTATATGTGCGCTTTCATGATTGGCCTTGGTTGTGCGATACACAAGCATAATTGTGAAACGATTTCAATCTTTTCCTTCTCTCTCTAATTACCTGTGTCCACCATATAGTTGACAGGAGAAAAAAAAGTCGATTTAGGACTATTATTGATCTTCTTCTACTTCTACTTCTTTCTTTCTTTCTTTCTTTCTCTTTTTTCTTCTCTTCGAGTTGCTTGACACAATACGAGGCCGATCAAGTGAAACAAATCTAGTGAAGCGAGTAAAGAAAGAGAGAAAAGAGAAAGACAGAGGGGGAGAAGCAAGGGAAGGAGAGGGAGAGAGAAAGGGAGAGAGAGAAAGAGTAAAAAAGGAACAGAAAGAGAAAATCTTCACACTTCTAATGCACACCTTTATTGAATATATATATTTCGTTGTATATGAGTGTCTGGCATGTGCATACATACTGCGTAAGAATAACATTCTGTACGTTCTAATACTTATTTGGCATATATATTTATATATGGCACTGACAATGACTATTGATTATTTATACGGGAAATGAAACCGTATGTGAAACAACATCACTCGCCAAAGGACAGAAAATGAAAGAAAGACTAGAAATAATAATAATAATAATAATAATAATAATAATAAAGTTGTTGCAATTATGTGTAGGTGTATGAGTAAGAGAAGAGAACAAGAGTAAAGAAAGAGAACAAATGATCGAACACGATAAGTAATATGTATATATGTCGTGTCTTCTTAGATATTCAATGAAGAAGAGCCTTTTTTTCTCTCTCTCTCTCTTTATTCATTACCTATCTGTCTACCTATAAGAATGACAAGGCAACATCGTAAAACCTAATGAAGTGTGAAAGCTGTTCAAGACGGATGAGATATACTATCGAGTCTTCGTTTTTCGGTGTTAAATAATGAATGTTTGTCGTGTGTAAGACACTCTTCTTTCATGCTATACTATGCCCCGGATTTTAGTTTTATTCATATAATTGATATTGTCACACACAACCGCACCCTATTGTTTTTACGATTAGTAATAGTATAGTAATAGTTATATGTTACTGTTCCTCTTTTACATTTTTGATTGATGAATTTGTTCTCTCATTCTTCCACTAATAACATGTTCAAACATATAGATGTGTATATACACACATATTTAGAACAAGAGAGAGCGAGAGAGTGAAAAAAGAAAGTTAAATATAAGCAATAATTACAAATATTATATACATATACTATTTAATGCGAACATCTCGAGTCGCAAAGACATAAATTCTCTTGACATAATGACGAGACTATAGTTACTTACTTATTTTGTTATACAACGTCTTTTGTACTTGCCTCTTACCTAGTCAAATGAATAAATGAATGAATGAATAAATATATAGGTGACTGTCCGTTTGTTATTGTCACTGAAAAATAATTTTGCATTTTCTTTTTCTCTTTCTTGTATTTTACTTTTGCTGTTGTTGTTGTTATCGTTGTTGTTGTTGTTGTTATTACTCTATGAATCAAACGTCAGTAGAACGCACAAAGAAAAATTATTATCACTAATAGTAGTGATGTATGTAGAAGTAATGTCGGATACACCTAGGTACTGTGATTATGTGTGTATATATGTGAGTAGTCGTTTTTTCTCTCTCTCTCTCTCACTCACTCCTCTTTCTTTTCTATTAAGAATCTATTGTTCGAAGTATGTGTCGAGCGCGCAATACGGCGATGACGAGCAAGAGTTATTCTTTACCGCTGCTGACACAATACACTCTTCTCTTTTTTCTCTGTCTCTCTTCCTTTTTACGCTTGACTTCACATCATCATCTATATTCAATTGCGCTGTACTGTGTGCATATATACACATGCCCAACACAATACACATCATCGCTGCTTTATGCATCGTATATACACAAACTGATTTTGTACATAAGACATACTCACGATTGATAAACTGCACAACTCACTCATTCATTCACTCGCGCGCATATATAAAAAATCGAGTATTCAAGTAAAAATCGCCTGACAGACTATGATAATACGACTCGTATTGTTTCTTTCATCTTGTTTCAAGTTGAAGAAAGATACCTTATTCTTCTTTTTTTTTTTCTTTTTTTATTCTCTTTTCTTCTTTTCCGACTTGGCACAACACGAACAATAGAAAGACAACGATCTTCTCTTCGTCCGTCTGTCGAGCGACGGCATTATTAAATCTCTCTTGTCATCAGGTGTCATGGAGAGACATACAAAGGCAGATAGAGAGCGAAAGAGAGCAAAAGAAGAAAAGTAATTTTTACTAAAAAAGACAGCCGGAATAAAAAAGCCGTCACTACACCATCGTTACCTATTTTATTTATTTCCAACAATGAATAGACAACATATGTGCATTTTTCGAGTATATATAACAATCAGTTTTAATCGGCCTCTACTACCATCATTTGTACATCACTGCTTTTCTCTTCTTCTTTTTTTTTTCACTCATCGATAGTGAATGTAAATGCATGACAGCTTCAAGGATATACACATGGATGAGAATATGTCAATTGTCAAGTAACTTCTAATAAGGAATAAGAAGAAGAAGAAGGAGAAAAAGAAGAGAATCAACATACCTGCCTTCTTGTCACAATAACAGATTTTCTATTACTATCATCATCACTGATTTTTTTCTCTATTCTAGTAGTATTCATTGAGCGCATCTTTCTTTTTTCCATAGACATTTTCTTCTTCGTTTCCTTTCTTTCTTATATATATATATATATATATAAATATATATAGTTTTTTGAATAATGCGTGCATGCAACAAAAATCTCACAGGTTTTCTTTCCTACTCTTCTTACTCGCCTTGTTGCTCTATTGTCAATTGTCCAACATCATGTCATTATCCGCTGAGTTGAAGACAGGCATGCGCACGCGTGCTGTGCCATAACACACAGGAGCACCCATTGTTTCGCTTCTTGTCATCGTCTAATATTTAATTTCTTTCTTCGTTCTTGTCGCTTGCTTTCCACTCAAAAAAAATTCAATAATAAACATAACCAAAGACAGAAAGCAAAATGGGTGACAAAAGCGAAAATAACGATAATGATGATGTTATTATTAGTATCATTATTATTATTACTATTATACTCAAGTAAAAGAAAGCTGATATGTATGTCTATAAGTATTTAAATTCAACTATTACAATATTAATAGAGCAATTGTCCTTTTGTTTAAAAATAAATTAGTATTAGATTCTCTTGTTGAACATATGTTTAAAAAATAAGGTCATGTATAAAATATTTAGTTATTTTACCTGTCATGGAATATGCACAATGAAAGAATAAGAAGAAGAAGAAGAAAAAAAGGGAGATTGTATATAACACTATGAATAAAGCAAGATAAATGTTTTAAGAGAAAAAGGTGGTAGAAAATTATGGACACATAAGTAGATGTGACAATATTGGTATGTATGTGTATGTGTATGTGCTGCAATATATAAATGCGTTTTGAAAAGATTCTCAATGACAATAGAGCACACATATGCTTACGAGCAAGAGAAAAAGAAGGAATAAAAAGGGAAGAAGAAAACGAAGACGAAGAAGTAGGAGGAGGTACGATTGTACAATATCGTATGTGTATGCCGAAGGTGGCATGTATGCATTGTCCCTTGTTGGAAGAATGAATGAATGAATGAATTGTACGAATGAATGGAACCGCTTGTTATGCATTACGATCTCAAGGCAAACGAGCGCGCGTAAACGAATGATTGAGGAAAAAAAAGCGAATAAACGATTATAAACACTAGCTTCAAGCGATTTTTAGAACAAATAGGCAAAAG